AGGTATGGTATGTAGGTATGTATGTAGGTAGGTATTTATGTATGCATGCATGCATGCAACGCCTAAGGTCTTTCCAACTTAGGTTGCAACACCAAACTGGGTAACACCCCCCTAGTTGACTGTATTGAGTTGACTTCCACTCACGTTAACAGAGCGTCGGTCTCTGCTAACAACATCTCTGTTCAGGAATACTCTCATGAAGACGATCAGACCACACAATTGGCTGCTACAATGTACACAAACACTTAACTGTCTTTTAAGAACTCTTACGCAAAAGTTCTTATGTACCAGAGTCATTTAACAGCCACCACTTTTCGATACGACGATGACCGCGATGATATTGACTAGAATTTTTTCTCCGTTTTCAATATTTCAGTGCTTATCAAATAATCATTCTTAAAGTCACTGATTGTGTTCAAGAGCTTCCCAGGGATTTTGATGTGAAGCTGAAAGATTCCAACGACAAAGAGTTGAACTTTTATCCTTTTTACATCGCTGCGGAAATCGAAAATGGGTCTGTGCGTGATAAATCTTGGAAATTTGCTGTTGGTGATGGGAAATCGTATGGAACTTTTACAAACAAAGAGCTGAGGCGAGGAGAAAACTACATTGCCTACCAAAGAGCCATAACTCGACACAACGGTGTAAGCAAATTTTGGTATTGTTTAATTCCTCTTTAATTTAGAGTCGATAATCTAAACGTAATATACAACTTATGAAGAATGACATTTGGACCAAATCATGTTTTTATGTACACTCATACTTGCTATTGGGACTAAATCCCTTTTCATTAAATCGATGAATTGCTAGATGTGTTTTTCACATTTTGACGATATGTGATTCACTTCCTAGCAAATTTTGGAAGGAGGTGCCAGTAAAGTCGCCTTTATAGCTGTCACACCAGGTATAGATTATAGCACTCAGCTGAGACTTGAGTGTAATTTCTTTTCAGTTTAGTGGGCTGTTAAACTGTCATGAAAGCTCTGTGACTACTAAGAGAAACTTCTTATTGACAAAGTCAGTTCTTACGGTGGGTGTACGCTCTTCATTTCGGGCGAATGTGATGGAACAGAATGAAACCATAAGAGATGGCAGTTCCTCGTTGAAGTTCGCCGTCCTTTCAAAATCTCGTGCCTGCCAAAGTGGCCTTTTTTTTCTCTACTTTGGCCTCATCAGTTGGGTTTTAAAACCCCGGACAATAGAGGTTATTAAAAGCAAACTAACCTACCACCTATGTTTTTGTGTCTGCTACAGAATTCCAGTCTGCATTTACATTTGCTCACTTTGTAATTCTTGTTATAATTATTGGAATAACATCCTTTTTGGTAGTGTTTCTGTTATTTTATTTTCCCTTGGATGTTTACAGTTTGACTGGTCACATTGACAAAAGCGCCTTGATGCTTCCAGCTCTAGGATGAAAAGGGCCATAGTCTGGGTTAATAGCAGGTTTTATATTTTAGTTTGCTCTTCCATGGAGTTTGAGGCCAATCTGTTATATTCTTTCAATCTGCAGAGTCACTTAAAAATACTGAAGAAACCATAAAAGGAAATGTCAGTGAGTATTGTGTAGACTCCTCGAGAGTAGAAAGGGAATAAGCCGCTTTCTGGAGTAATTTACTAAAACTTCTTAGTCCGTGTATTGTGTTCTATAAAAGAATAAGTTGATACTGAAGATCAGAAAGACACAGTCTTTCTAAAAACTGCAGTAAATTACTAATTAAACAGCGCCAATAAATCCACATTGAGGCAGGATTTCGGATAGAATCTCATGATATACATTTGATTCCTTCATTATTTTCTCCAATTCAAATGCAGACAGGGATTTGCATATCCAGTGTAAATCTCTCCTCATTATCTATCAGGTGAATGCCAAGTCCTTCGCGTTGGTGTCATCGCTCTTTCTTGCGTTGTTTTCGTCTTGCTCATTGTGATTGGTGCACTTATATGGCGGTTGAAACGGACTGAATCTCAAGAAAGAACAACCACGGTATACAGTGAAATCCCTGTCCGATCTGGTGGTCATCAAGTGTCAGAGCCTAGTGTTTATATGGAACTCCACCCCAGGCCTTCGGAAGGGAA